GGGCCGGGCCGCTGCGATAAGGCCGTCCTAAGGCTGCTGACACAGTGTAAGGAGGAAAGAGTTACGGTGACGTGGCTTTCCAAGGGCTCCCTCCCCGCGTATGGCCTGGCACGGCGGGATGGAGCGGCAGGCCGCAGGGAAAGGGCAAGGTCGGGGCTTAGAAACCAGGTTTTGGTACACAAAATGGCCATTCCCATCTTACTGTGTCATGGCTCGCGTGGATTTTAAGGAAGCAGGTGTTTCCTACGGGGAAGAAAAGGATCCTAAAGGATCTTTAGGGGGTATAGGGGAAGGGTCAGCAGAATATACGTGACTAATACACCTATGTGACAAGCAGCTATTAAAACTTCAGCAGCTTCACTTTAATTCTGTCCACACCCCGCCTTCCCCAGGCTTTCTTCAAATTTCCCAACTAGCTGAGTAAGGTCTATTGCTACGCAGTCAGTTCGTGACACGTCTCTGTCTGTCTTTTATTTCTGTCTAAGCTCCCAAAGGCTTTGAAAGTAAGCACGCAAACAAACAGACAGGATGGTCTGCTCGAGAGTCTCTGAACTCAGTGTTATTGAGTGAGGATTTGAGATCTCCCGAAATGAAGTTGCCCTTCCAGCATCTGCCTACAGACGCCCGAAGGCCTTGGGTTATTGGCTGTTGTGCTTGGTTATGGCTAGAGAAGGCTGTTTCTGGAGTTTTGCTTTTTTAAAAATCTTGTTTTGCAGTTCTTACATCATTTGTAAGAGGAGACTTGTCTGTGTATAGGCAGGGCCAAACAGCTTTAGTGCTTTAAAATGTTGCTGTAGTATTTGCCTGGTAAGGTGCATGTATTTCAGATGGAATGCCATGTCCCCATCTGTCTCTTACTGCTTGGTGATCAAGCCTCCTGGTTCTCTGGTTGCCCACTCTTAGGTCAACTGACCCCACAGTCTCTTCCAAAACTCACTTTTATGACAGAGGACTTGTCTAGGGAGGTGATGAAGCAATGAATCCCACACTTGGGTCTTAGTCTGGCTTTGTTGCTGAAGCTGGTATCCAGGTAGGACTGCTCATGGAAGTTCTATTTTATTCTAACTGCAAAATAAAAATAAATAAAAAAAAAAAGTCCTGTACTCGTTTGAAAAGCTACAAAGGAGAAATAATAGTTCATGCAATTCTTGCTTTCCTTCTTATTGTTCAGGTATGCTGTGACATCCCAACATGCTGGGCCTATTGTAAGATGGCTAGATGCATACTTTCTCTTTGTGTCTGTGTAGGAAAGGTTAGTTCAGGACATCATGTCTGCAGGTGGTCTCTCTCCTTCTGCACTGGATGGTTTGCTTCGGTCCCCTGGGTCAGGCCACCAAATGTGGGAGGTTGGTAGTTAATCCTGGCCGGGCTCAGTTTGGTTCCTGCGGGTGAGCTAAGTTTTGTGTGTGTGATAACCCCAGCACTAACAGTGGCACCCTCTGTTTTGGAGGAATCCGCGGGCTGTGCCAGCTGGCTGCTGAGGGGCGGCGTCTGGGCGGCCGAGGTCTCGCTTGGGCCCAGCCACGTGCCTCTGCCCCATTGTCGAGGCTGGCGGTTTGGGGAACTGTCGGGCTGTTTGTCAAGGGCGAACAATGCCCTGTCTGTAGGGGATTGCGTTACCGTAAATAACGTTAGAATAGCATGAAAAATCCCTTTCAGGTCAACTCCCCCACAAGCGTTCTGGCTGGGCTATTAGCAGCTTCTCCTGCCCCCGCATGCCCGGCTGAATGGGCAGTGTATTTGGCTGATTTGGGTAATGCTATTCAGTTTTGATGAAAGCGGATAGCAGAGCTTTTACTGTCCAGAATCCTGTTCATGAGCAGGCTATTGCTAGAGCTGCAAAGGGCAAAAATGGATCAAACCGCGTAATATGTTCTAGCTAAAGGTTAGCTCCGGTGTCTGCAAAGCCCTAAGGGAGTAGTGCTCAAAATAATAGGGATATTTGAGAGCTTTCTTTACTGTGTTCTTGTCACCACTTAGTGAGATGGAGAACCTGGTGTGCAGTTTATATGATATCATCCTGATGAGGCTAGTGTCTTGGTTAATCAGGACCACTCCGTTGAATAGCGTGCACCGTATGGTGGCCAAAACGCATGCTTTTACACCGTGTCTGCGTGGTCAGATGCAGACAGCCCGGCACTCCAGTGGGGCCTGCTGACTTGAGCTGGGTGCTCCAGACAGGAGGTGGCTTGTGTTGGTGCCTTGTGGCAGGGGGGTGGCAACGCAGCTGCCTGTGCCTGACTGCACAGGCGTGCTTTCATCTGCTCGCCACTTGAATACAGGTAGAGCTCCGAGCAGGAACTGCAGCACGGGAGAGCAGTGCTCCTCTGTTCTTGGACACTGACAAATACCATATGGTACAGGGGAAGCTACAACAAATCCCGTAACAGACAATTACGGGATAATCTGTATGTAGAGGAAGCTTGTTCCTAAAGTCTTGCCTGCTATGGTTTATACCCTGAGGCATGAGGGTGTATATACTTTACTATTTTTCCTGCCTAATGCAGCAACTCTCACTATACATGTGAAGGTCCACACCTGTTCTGAGTCCAGCAGGCTGCCGGCATCAGTGGTATCCTGTGGCAGGCAGTTAATCAGGTGTTCTAATAGGAAGAAAGAGTGTTTCCTTAGAATAGTTTTGGGTACATAGCCCTTTTGTACAGCTTTTGTACAGGGAAATGAGGCTGTTCTTCTGTTGTAAGACGGAGTAAAGGACAATGTCTGACTTACCTTCTCCATACCACAAATTATTTTGTGTACTTCTGTCTTACATACCTTTAAAATTATTCCCAAGCTTTTTAGTTGCTTCACCTCTAAGACTTTCAAAGAACCCTAGTAACTTTAGCACCCATGCTTTTTCAGACATACCTGTTGAAGGATAGAGTTGAGGGAAACTGGGAGGCATTCCAGTGGAACACACACTGTTGATTTTCATGCAGTATTGTTTTTTTCACCCCTCTCCATGGTCAGAATATTTCAACTGGATGGAGCCTTTAATTGAGCACAATGATTCTCAAGTCTGCGTCATGAAATGTGTGTCCTTTTTTTTTTTTACTCTTTGTTGAAGCATTTTTGTAGACCTTGTACAGTTTTTGCCTATTCTTAGTAATTTCACAGACTTAGTGCAAAGCAGTCATTATTCTGTCTGTGTAGTCTGAATTGTCCTCTGAAGTGCCCACTTTTATGGATCTTGGCACCCAAACCTTGTATAACTCAGGGCCACATCGATGGTTCATTTCTAGAGGAATAGATGTGCCGTTCTCCATTTCATCTTCTGGGGAATGAGTCTTTTTTGTCCCATAAGGCTTCTCCGTATCTCTGTTACTATGGGAATTTATGAATTTTGGTTGCAAAAAGAAGATGATGAATAACGGTTTGGTTCAGCTAGAGTTCCTAAATGTAGTCTCTGTTCAGAGGTTATAGGAGGAAGAGGAATTGGTGTGGTTTTGGGGTGGGTTGCTTGGTTGGTTGATTGTTTTTTGGTGGGGTTCTTTTTTTGTTTAATCTAAGAGTCAATAATTACCTTAGAGGTACTCTGACTTTGTCAGCTCCTGGAGTGGGGAAGAGGAAGAGAGGAATTGATATAGTTGTGAGGAAGGGGGGAAACTGTTGAAAGGAGAATGCAGCAGCTCCAAAGGGGTGCTACAAGAACTCTTCCTGCGTAGCACAGGCAGTGTGAGCCCGTTGCAGCGAGGCACTGCGTTCCTCACCCTCATTGTCTCTTTTACAGATAACTGACTCAGCTGGGCACATCCTGTATGCCAAGGAGGATGCCACTAAGGGCAAGTTTGCCTTCACCACTGAAGACTATGATATGTTTGAGGCCTGTTTTGAGAGCAAGCTTCCTGTGGGTAAGTGAAGTGAAAGTTCTGTTGGCTGCTTCTAGCTTCCGAGCAAGTTCATGTAGCTGTGTGAATTAGGGGTACGGGTAAAGTGATCCTGAGTGTGGTCCGCAGAACACTGACTTCTAAAGCTGATCTTCAGGAGGTTGTGGGCAGTCTCACTGCAGAATATCTACTGTCAGTGTTACATTTGAAGTTAAGTAATCCTCTGTGGCTGTCGTGTAGAGCACTTGGGTTTCCTCTGAAAGGGGAATCGTGTTCCTCCCGCAGAGGTCACCACAGTTGCAATGAGTGGCAGTACTGGGGAGCAAACCATACCTCTTTTGCCCCTTTTTATGCTTCTCCCCATCTTGCAGTTGAGCCAGGACAGAGCAGGATGCCATCATTTCCAGAACCCTGTCTTTCTCCTCAGCTGACCATCTCTCCCCATTTGGTGGAACGTGATGTCTCCACACTGTGTACTTGGCAGCAATCCTGCATTAGGTTAGCAACCGTTTTCTGGGGTTGGGATGTGTGTGTGTATAGAGAATGTGGCCTTGGTTTGCACCCGCAACTGCTCTCTAAGTGGTCAATAAAGGGAAGGGGAAATGAGCGGGACGTCAGCCTTGCATTTGTGCTGCAGGGATGGTTGCCTAACGAGTGCTGAGGCTCGTTTCCTGTGAGTGTGACGCATGTGCTGCTTTGAGTGTCTGGGCTCAACTTCAGGACAAATGTGCTGAAAACAGCCAATACGTGGGCTCCAGTCTTGTTTGTGGTGGTGTGAGCGCATGCAAGTTCGTAGGTGCTCACATCTTTTTATGGTTGCTGTCAGAGTTCTGCTCCCTGGACCTGATTGTTCTTAGGTCTTATCCTAAAAGATCCCAGAGCATTTCACAGAGCAGTCACTAGCAGCATTCCTCATATCTGTTGAAAGGCAGCCTCTGTTTTGCTGTTATGCTCCACGTATAAGATGCAAATAGTTTGCAAGTTGAAGAGAACTTTCCAGAAAGAGAAGCCTATCTTCTTTGCTGGGATTGGGAAGGATCTGGCTTGTAACACCTCTTCTGTAGTATTTTACAGATAAGACAATGACCCCAAATGCTCAGGATTTTGCTTTTATTTCACTCCAAAGGTAGGGCTTCCAAATGCTCCTTAACACATCAAGACATGCAGGCACTAGTGACTCATCTGGGAGTCACTCATGTAATTTAATGTCCAACACCTGGGTATTTGGGAAGTCTCCAGATAGTCCCACAAATCCTTTCATAGCTTCCATGTGATCACACACTGAAGTGGGAAAGGCTTCTTTCTTTAGTTGTGTCTAGACTTTTATTTCAGTGCTTGTGACCAGAGGTTTCTTGCCTAGACTGAGCCCCTTATAGCTCTTTTGATTGTAGCAAATGTTTATTCCCTGGCTCCCTTGTATTGTTGCAAGTTTGTTTTAAAGCTTTTAGTACTGATGAGGATAAAATATTTCTAAATAGGAGATTCTACCTGATGACCAGTGGGGCATTGAGGTGCCAAAATCTAGAGCTGTTCAGTTGAGCAGCTGGATCCTCTTCTGGAGGCCTTCTCTTTAGGGGCCTCCAAGCTGCCAGTTTCTTTTTGGACCCAGGTGCCCCAAATTCCTTGCTAAAGAGAAATGCTGCATGGTATTTCCAGATTTCCCATGCCTGTGCTGGAAAGTGAGGAAGTGTTAAAGTAAGGGAGGTGGCACTGTGAGGCTTGATCATCTGCAGGACTTGGTTAAGGTACTGTGAAAGAAATAACCACGTCACAAAGAAGTGCGTTGTTTCCTCTGTAAGGTCAGCATGGGAATGGGGGAACTGACCAAGTGCTGTTTTATCCCCATGTTTCTCTTAAAGGTTGTTTGTTGTTTTTTTTCCCTGCAGTCTCATCAAGTAAGTGGTCAGGACTTGTAGTGCAGCAGCCAAGGAAGATGTTGATGGAGTACTGGGAAAGAAATACTGTTGGTAGAGGAAGCCCAGAGCCGTTGGGACCTGACGGGTCTAAGCAACTGGGGTTTCTCAATCCTTAACCACAGAAATGAGGAAGAGGAAGTGAGAAGGAGATCCTATTTAGAAGGTCCACCTTATCAGAGTGGAGGAGTTCTTAGGGTGCTTCTTGGAGCTGTGGGTGTTTGCATGACAGGCTTTTTTCCCTCTTCCAAGGTGGAAGGGTCCCGTCTTCCTGACTAGTGCTCTGTTCCCAGGCACACTTACTCTCGCACCGTATGCTAATCTCTGAGATGAACAGCCTGGCCTGCACTACATGCTCCCCTCTAGGGCTCTTCCTGCGTGCTAGTCTTTACCTCTTTGCTCCTTCTGTAATCCTTCTCTTCCTGAACTTCAAGAGTGTTATGGCTCATTTTTTCTGGAATTCCTGCAGGAAAATTTTGCAACATCCAGTTCAACCATCCTGTTTTTCCACTGACTTTGCAAATTAGGAGCTCCCCTAATCTCCCAGGAAACAGTTCTGTGCTCATGTGAGATGACCTCTTGAAGACCACCTGGGAGATGTAGGTATCAGTTTAGTTCAAGGTCTCTGAGACTTAACTGTTTTTCTCTTCGCTGCTGATCCAATCTACTCAGCAAGCCCTGGCTGCAGGAGGAGCTGGGAGTTACTGAGGATCTAATGAGCATGAAGGGAGCTGCCTAGTACCTTGGACTCCGGGAACTTGTAGAAGAGCAGGTTGAGTTTTTCCAGGCCGGTTCCTGATAACGTTAGCCTCTTGCAGAATGTCTGCTTTCCATCCCTTTGCACCCAGCAGCTCTAAGGTTTCTGCTTTCCTACTGCCTCTTGGCAGCTCTCCCTTCCAGCCTGACAAATAAATCCTTCCAGTTCTGTTCTGTTCACGGGCCTTTTCATCTTTCTCATCTCTTCCTGGAAGCGCCAGCTCTCCACCCAAGTTGCTGTAATTTAAACAACGTTAAAAAAGCCTCTCACTGTGTGCTTTGAATTTTCTTCTGCAGCTACTGTTGGCTGTCCTACCTGCCAGTCTCCCAGCATGCTGGTATATGTATGGCATAAGCGATCAAAACTTGTGGTTGGAGAAAGGAGCACTGGGTGGTTGTATACAGCCTGTTTGTAAAACAGCAGTGCTGGGATTTTAGTTTGTTTTTACAGTAACTGGTCTTCTATAAGATAACCAGAAATTCCATCCTAATCCTAATTTATCCATTGGGCTCTTACATAGCTGGGTTTGAATTTTGAGCTTCTGTATCCCTCAGGAAATTGAAGAAACAGTTTGTAGTTGATACGGACCATCTTGTCAGTAGGTTATTCCATGTTCTGCTAACAGTAGAAGGTGGAGGTAATTCTACTCTGGTGTTGAAGAGCTGTTCAGTGGGTAGAGAGAAAATTTGAGGATGTTGTATTGAAGATCTGGAGTACCCTCCTAGCTCCGACTGGAGTGACCCAGTGTAACCTTTACATTGAATTTGTTTGTGGACTGAGGGAACATCCACCTGGCAGCCTCCTAAGGCAAAGTGTGAGTATTGGATATGCTCCTGGATAAAGACTCTGAAATTCATAGTATAAGTGAATTCAGACCTTGTGTTTTGCTGGCAGCCAGCTGAGGACAACTGTATGCCCCAATGTGCTGGGATTTGGGCATGTGTTATGTACAGACATTTTCTTGGTGGGTGGTACAGTGGAATATGATACTCGGGTCAGCTGATGTGCTGCATTCTTCAGGGTATCTTACATGCCTATCCTATATTTTTTTTTTTCCCCTCTTGTGAATATTCTCAGATGTGACAGTTTGTAGCAGTTAAAAGAAGCTATTAGCCGTAAGTGTCCCTAGCTTGGGGGCTATAGCCTTAAAAGATACCTAGTGTGCTGTTGACTGCAGCCTTATCCTACTTGTGTGGCTCTAGCTGGCAGTTCTCTGAAGTGGTGTTTTCCTGGCTTCAGAAGCCTCTTGCCATCTTGGGGTTTGCATTAGCAGTGTGGGTCTCGGACATCTGAACTGTTCTTTCCCTGAAAAAATATGTTAGTAAAGGGATTGCCTTCATTTCTGCAGATAGTGCAGCATGCAAGGATCAGTAGTCCCCATATGCCATATTCCTCAATTAGAGCAGTTTACCTTCTGCTCCTTTGAATGTAAAATCATATACAACCCCAGTAACCTTGACAAATTGCCGGTGCACTTCCTGCTAGGAGGAACTTGGGCTTCCCAGTTGAATATTTGTCCCTCTGGTGACTTGTCTTTCACCAGGCTGTCTTATAGCAGCTGGTATTCATCTTCTAATCCTCTGCAGTTTTTACAGTGATTTGCATCCTACACACACTTAGCGCTTTTAGTTACAGCTTGTTCTCATTATCTTTGGGAGGCTCTCCTTCAGCCAGGATTTATTGTAAAGTCTCTGTATTTTTAGGCTGGACTGTGCTGCCTCCGCAGTTAGCTGCAGACATGGAGGGAGGGGAGGGATTTTGTGAGTTCTTCCTCAGTGGTGGGGAGAGCTGGTGATTTCCTGGCAGGCTGAACGTTTCACACAATGAATCCTTTCATTATGCTTCCAGGAACAGGGAGGATGCCGGACCAGCTCGTGATTCTGGATATGAAGCATGGAGTTGAAGCAAAGAACTACGAGGAGGTATGTCCCCTGGCTGCCTGCACTGCAGGCTCCCCTTTCCCGGCACTCACGTGATGCCATTTGTAGATCTGGGGCTCATGATGGGAAGCTATTTTCCCAGCGGTGATGAAAGCCTGTCTGCAACCTACAATTCCAGTGAAGCCGCGTGTGTTAAGGGAGCAAAAAAAAGACAAACATCAACTAAAATTAATTCTGTACTCTGGGAACTGGAGCCTAATGTGTGAATTTCTTTGCTGGGACAGCATGACCCGGCTTCTGGGCATAGGTATTAGAGGCAACGAGACTGAAATGTGAAGTTTCTCCAGCCCCAGCAGTGGAGGGCATTTTAGGTTAATATCAGATCCTCCTAAAGGTCAAGTTGCATTGTTACTGTTCTTGCCTTCCTGACTGTAAGATGTACTGGCTCAACAGCCCTGAAATGGCACTTGTGCATTTGTAAGAACCAGCAGTGTATCAATGTAAAGGTGTTTGGCAGAGTAGTAGCTGGTGTGAAATGGGTATTTGGTTTGAAGGCATGACATTGCGAACAGGCATAAAGCCTAAACGTTTCCATCTTAGGAGGACATAACTTTCTTAGACCCAAGAGCCAGCTGTGTGGAATAGCAGTTGCTTTGTGGCTGGGACAGTCCTGACTGGTTGGATGCTGAATTTTGATGTCTGCTACTATGCTTTTGGCTCACTAGAATTTGGGGTCAGTCAGCCCCCAGCACAGAGCCTGTGCCTGAGAAAATGAAAGTTGTTGGTGAAGAAAGGTTCCTGCAAATGATTGCTGTGTCCACTGCGCACAGCAGTGTGGGAGATGCCTTAGGGAGGAGAGTGGGTAGCAGAGGAGGCTGTGTATGGTGCCAGTTAGAAAACGAACAAATTTCTGAGAGGAGCATGCTGGAGTTTTTATATCCTTTTGAGCTTTGGGCTAGCTGGTCCTGCATGGCTTAAGTCAGTCTAGAGCACATCCTACATGGAGAATAAAAAAGTGCTTGGGGTCAGAGAAGAGCAGAGCAATCATTGGGCCAGCTGTCTGGCAATCAGCTACTGAAGGATTACAAGATGTTGAAATCTTATGGGATGACCCCTGAGAGCGTAACTGGGAGTATTATGGTGACTACATTTACAGAATCTCTTTGAATACAGTCCTGCAGCGTACTCCAAGTTACATTACTGTAGTGCTACTTAGAAGCATTGTCCCTAGGCAGAGAGGTTCTCTTATGCCCATCTATCTAGGTATTCACTGGTTGTACTGATAAAACTGTCTTGGAATAAAAATAAGTATCCATTATGCTCGTCAATGTAGTTAGATCAAAGGAAAAGGTCCATGGACAAACACGGGATAAGAAGAATTTAGACTTGCAGTCCCACCTGATACCAAATGCAGATCTTGGCAGTGCTGGCAAGCATCCTGGACTTGCGAGGACCTCTCAAGGTAGTAGACTGTGTTGAGCCTTCTTGAGCAGTGTGTCTGTAAAGGACTCAAACTGGTTTACTGTTTGTATAGCTGCTACGGATGTTTAGCCACACTGCTTTGCAGTGTGTTTTCTTTTTTTTGTCCTCTCCCCAGGTTGCTGTAGTATTTGTGGGTTTTGACTTGACAGGTTGCTGTAAGGCCTCAGAGGGGAGGACTGTTGCTCAGGTTTCTCTCCTGGAATTGCTGCCTTTTTGAGCCTTTTGCTTGTGATGTTCATCTGTTGTAAGGTACCAGTGACCTGTCTTCCCCCAGTTGTTCTTGTTGAACTGCTGCAAGGAGACTTGATGCAGGGAGTTGAACAAGGCTCACTGATACTGTCCTGCTTGTGCATGGATATATGCAGTGAGAGGAGGGGTGATGTCCCAAGTCCAGCTTCATAAGCTTTCATAGATCCAGACATTCTTGGAGCAAAGCAAATGGGAGAATGAGCTGGGTTAGAAAACCAAACTGTGTGGCAGTGTCATACCTTAGTTCTCTGGGGTAGGGAGGAATAACTTTCTCCATTCAGTGAAGGTAGGGAAAAGTGAAAAGACTTTTCAGGGGTCACCAAGAGGGCTTGGTGATCTGGGTTCCTTTCCAGATCAGCTACTCCTTGCCAATTCTTGGCTATAGTGTGTCTCTTTCTATGCTAGGAAGAAAGTTAGGCTTTGATGAATCTTTGTGTGGCCCCTGAGAAGTTCAGTGGAGTTGTTGTTTCAGTTGTTCTGGTGGTCCAGATGTTCATTCTAGGATGATGGTGTTCCACCATCACAGATGCTTGGTGGGCTTTTTACAAAATCCCTTGGAGCAGCTGTGCATATTGGCTTCACTAAGGATGAAAGAGGTTCCAGGATGTGCGTCTCGGGGTACATGCAGGACTGAAAGTAGCTATCACATGTTTCTAGCTACACCTATTAAGAACAGCTGAAGGGATGCAGGATGGAGCAGACAAGCCTTGTTTTTTCTCAGTGGAACCTTTGTAGCCCTCTGTGAATGAGGAAAAGTGCCCTCTAGGAGGATAATGGAGCTGGTCAATGCAGGGTTAGCTTGTCAGTACAGATGCCTGAGACCTTGTGTGTGTTACAGACCTGCTGCTCTATCTGTGTCAGCAGAATCTGGGCCATGGGCACACTTATACTGGGGCCAGTTTTTCAGCAAATCTCTGCTGGCAGGTATGTGTCCAGGCCACAGGGTTTTGTCAGTACAACCTATTGGCTAGAAAGTGGGAGGGGTTTAACCTCCCATTTCCTACTCCTCCTCACAAATGTACTCTGAATTGACACTGCTGTGCTGGCAGAGCTGTAATATACAGCTCACCTCAGCATAAAAATCCTCAGATGACTGCTTGAGGGCCTGCTGCTTGCCAGGATACGTGTGTCATGGGAAGACCTTTCGGTGAAATGGCTGATTAGCTAGCACTGGCCTGGTCACGAGCATCTCTTCAGATGGTCTCTGATGCCCAGGCAGCTGCCTCTGGAAGCAGTGTTTTGGGGATGCCTGCACCCTGGGTGCCCTGTTGCCTGCCTGTCAGCACCTGGACCACTGAGGGATGCTGTCCTGCGGCTTATGTCTGAGTAATCCTGTGTGGTGGTGAGACCGGTGGTGAGCTGCAGGTGCTCCATGTGTTTTCTGTAGTTTTCTGTAGCGCATCTTTCTTCTGATGCATTATTCAGGGACAGGGCATCTGGCCTTCATGGTGGGGGCCTGTCACTCGTTGGTAATAGTGACAAATTCTACGCAAGAACCAGAGTTACCCAAACCCTACCCTGTAGCAGTGGCAGGAATTGCAGTTAGCTTCTTTTGAGTAATGTCCTTGTGTCACAAATTTTACATAATGTGTAGTCAGGTTACAGCCAGGACTGGGGCAGGGACACATGTTTACACACTCAACTTTAAATAGTTTCTGTTGTGGACTGTGCTTTCTAATTGAATTTCCTGTGGATTTTTCTTTTTGGATACAAGTCTGTGACTTGTAGGACTGTGGGTGGCATGTTCTGCACAAAAATGATGTCCTATAAAACCACCTTTTATAAGGGAAGTGTATTTTTCTTTCAAACTGGCTCAAAGGCAGCCGTTCCCGTAAGTATTCCAGCAGCGTCACCTAGTGGCTTGAGGCAGATGGAGCACTTTGTAGCTGTGCGGTCCCTACCAAGAGCGTACGCTGCCCTTCAGGTTATCAGTCTAAGTGATAAAAGCCCTGAGCTCTTGTGGGTGTGATCACTACTGCTGGGAATCAGGCTGTCTGTGCTTTCTGGGGCATGCGGCAACAGTTAGCAAAGTGAGTCTTGGTGCTAATATTTTGTGTGCCTATAGAACAATATCGTATGCGTATGTAAGTTAGTCACCTGTAGTTCAGTCTGTGACTTCTGTTCACTGGAGGTTTAGTCATGTGGCAAGTTCTTCTACCCACTCCTCAGAAGCCAACTGTGAATAAGCTAACATTAGGCCGAATAAGGAAGAAGTGTGCTTGTATGCATACTGTGCTCCTCCATTGTGTAGGAGGGGTAGTAGGAAAGTGTGTTTCAGAGAACAGGTGGGAGAAGAGATAGTGTTTTATGCAACGGTAGTTTCTGGTTCATAGAGGTGTTTCCCTAGGGGAAGGATGCCCCAGATCTGTAGTATGTGAGAAGGAGTGGTTCAAACTGGCAGTAAAAGTCCATGTGGGAGCTTTTGGTTTTGGCTCAGTGATTGCCTCGCTCTTCTGTTTTCTAGATTGCTAAAGTGGAGAAGCTGAAGCCTCTGGAAGTAGAATTGAGGCGCCTGGAAGATCTTTCAGAGTCCATTGTTAACGACTTTGCCTATATGAAGAAACGAGAAGAGGAGATGAGGGACACAAATGGTAAGAGACTGTGTGCTCCTTCAGAGGGATGGAGCTCTAAGACCCCTTACTTCTGCTGAATGTGTTATTAGGACAGCATTTGGAGATCAAGCAATTATAGTGGTCTCTGCCTGTTCTGTTCCTAGTAAGGGAAACCTGCTGGTATTTCTCTCCTTCTGAAGCAGTCACTGGGTCTTCTGTGTCCCATTTCTAGAAATCATTTCTTTCTGTCTCCATTCCCAATGTGAATTACTCTGTACCATTTAATGTTGCCTATTAACCACAGTTTCGCCTTGTTCCCTCTCATCCTTCTCGTTGTTCCCTCTGCTTTTATTCTCAAGTACTGCTGGTGCTTGGGTGTCCTTGCCTTCATGCTATATGATATCTTGCCTCTGAAGTTTCATACGGGTGGGGAGAGAAAATCCTGGGAACTTTGCCCTCCTGAGGCACATCCTGTGATGTCAGACTCCCGTGCAATGGTTTGTTGTCTGTTTCAGAGTCGACAAACACCCGGGTTCTGTACTTCAGCATTTTCTCCATGTGCTGTCTCATTGGACTGGCCACCTGGCAGGTTTTCTACCTGCGTCGCTTCTTCAAGGCCAAGAAACTGATTGAGTAAAGGAGCAAGTCCTCCTCCCCCTGCCTCTCAGACCCAGCTGGACATCGCTGGGATCCAGCCATGGCCCCCTGGAGCCATCTCACAGATGATACCCACTGACTGGAGCTTTTCTGCAGATACTTGGACCCTAAAGGGGGAGGGGAGCCTAAACATTGGAGGCAACGGGGGACTTCTGAAATCTTGTTGGATGCTGAGGGTGGGGGAGGTTGTGATGGGTTTGGGGATTCCTGGGGCAGCGATTAAATAAAAAAAAGATGTTTCCATGACAGCTGCAGCAAGTTTTTGCGCTGTCTGTTCTCCTTTTATAATCTTGGCTTGATGATGTCTCCCATCTGCCTGTGACTGTAGTGTTACTCTGAGCCACTTGACCCTGCTGAGCTCTTTAGGTGCCATGCAGCTAGCACCGGGGCAGGGCAGGGGATTCCCTGTTCTGACCAGCTGGGATCTAAGCCTCAAGCAAATGGAGGTGAGTGCAAAGCAATAGGATTCATCATTCCAGCAGGGCCTGAGGATAGAGGGAGGTCCAAGGTTTGGTCCCTGTTGTGGACCTCTGTGTTTCTCCCTGTGGGAGCTGGTGTCTTTGTGCTGACAGGTCAGGGCACTTGGGCGTACGGTGGTTCAGCCTGGAGGAAGGGGAGCCTTGGAAGGAGGACTTGGGAACATGTTTGAGCTTGGAAAGGAGAAGTCTTCTTTGCTCAAATAAGCTGTCCAGCCTTGGGTCCCGCCCTTGCTCCACGTGTTTGTCTTGGATTTGCCTCTCTTGTTCTGAAATGATGCAGCAGCTTTCCTGAAAGCCTTGGTCAGGGACGGCCTTTTGTGCAGACAGGAGGCCTCAGTCAGATACAGTCACAGAGCAAATAGGAGCAGGTTATGCTAGGAAACTTGGTCTTACATTGAGCAGGAGACTTTTCTCATCTAACAGTGTAGCGTTTATTCGGCAGGCAGCTGGCTTAATATCACTTTCTAGACCCCAAAGCAAGGTGGGCTGCTGCTCATGTGAAGCACGAGGGCCTGTACCCTGCATTGAGGTCTGAGGGTGCAAGGGTGCTTTGCAGATTGGCAGAGGAGTTGGAAGAATGTGGATGAACTCAAAAAAGCAGTACAGGGTAGGAATAGGCTAATTCTACATCTGGGGGGAGTCTGAACTGTGCCCTCAACAGAATTGTTCTCCTATGCAGTACTAGAGAGAGAGCAAGCAGCTTCTTGTCATTTCTCAGCCATCCAGATGTCATGATGTTAAATAAGCCAGGCTGGGAAAAAACAGGCAGGTTAACTTCTGGACTTACCTGCTGCAGTTTTTAGGCAGTGATTAAAATTCTTTCACCTTCTCTGCATTCCTTCAGAGCAAATGGTTCAGCAGCAGAGCATTCTGGTGTCATGTGCCTAGACACTTCTGGCTAGGGAAGGGGTTGTCATGGCCCTGGGCCTGGGCTACCATTTTGAAAAAAGCATGGTTTTATAATTTCTGACCTGAATCTGATCTACTGCTGGGAAGGAAACGGTTGTCCAGCATGAGGCAATAGGAAAGAGGATGAAAAGATGACCTCCTGTCATCTAAATACATTAGTACTTTGCCTCCCCTTTGCCATTGCCAAGTTCCTGGAGTTGTTAGTTCCACTGGCAAGTGCTTCGATTGCTTTTAATTTGTTTCTTTTTTGATAAAGCCATATTAAGAACCCAAGTCTACTCCTCTGCCCTTGCATCCATTTTATCCTTGTACGTTTTTGAAAGCTGTTACAGTGCAGAACAGCAGTGATGCCACAGGACTGAATTACAGAAGTCATTTGAAGGTAGTTTTAGGTCCTACAGTTTGAAGCCTGTAGATCTGTTAAGGTTTTGCTTTTGTTTTTATATAACTTGAAAAGACAGTACAAGAAAGGGGCTTTTCCAGTCTTGTCTGTTTTGATATCCTCTCCCCGTCCTTATCTGAGTACAAAGATATCTTTATCTTAAAAATGGTGGCGAGGCCTTAAGTTCCCCAGGTGACTGTTACACTATCATCATTCTGGTGTTGCGTTTTGATCTTCACTGTACTGGTATGGTTACTGGGGAGCAGGTGTGGGGGGCTGGTGTGGATTTACCTGTAATGACTGGTTGGGGGATTTTTGTCAACTTTGTCAAATAAAATTTCTTTGGGGAAAAACAACCCACCTCAGTTGTCCGTGTGAGTCTTCTCCTCTTTGTGCACGTTCCTACTGACTGCTGTTCCCTGCAAGCTGACCTGTGGCAGGAAGCGGCAAGTACACAGACCCCCCGCAAGGCTTTGGGTTTCTCTAGCAACAGTTAATTTCTAAAGAATTTGAGAATTCCAGACTCGGGGAAAGGTACCGGCTGCATGGGCTTCTCTGCGGAGTGGGACCAGCACAGCAAGCAAGGTGTCTCTAATACAGGTTACCATTTGTTGCCTTTCTCTTCCCCCCCCCCCTCCTAGTTATATCCCTCTGTGCGGAGGAATTTTGAGGCTGATAGTGAAACAGGGCTGGTGCTCTAGAGTACAATATCCAGTTTTTCACTGTCAGCTCCCATGTAAAATGGAGTTTACTAAGACAAATGGAATTACTTTCAGTTTTGTGCTTTAGAGGAAGTTTTAAATTGTTGCAAAGATGACTTGGTTCTATGTGAGTGGCAGATGCTTACTGAAGAGAGTGGTTAGGTATTTACCGAACTGTTGTCAGATCTCTGCTGAGCCTGCGAGCCTTTTGTCATGTAGTAGCCAAGTGAGGTATGCCACGTAACAGGACTGGGGGCACATAAGTGCTACATAACCAGTTAGTATTATCAGGAAGAATTTCAAGAAGAGAAATTCACAGATCTTTGGATAAGGATTAGCCTCTGCAAGTTCTTGCCTGGATGAATATTTGATTATGTGAAATCATACAGTTGTTCTCATGCGGTAGGTTGGCGGTGGGTCTGGGCTGTTTTACAGCACTGCAGATGCAGAGCTGGTGTCTTCGTTCCATTTTACTTCTGGGAAATGGGCTAAAGTTGAGCTGTTGCAGATCCTTGGGTCTGAGCCTATCTTTGTGTGTGACAGATGCATCACTGGTAAATCTATAATTGCCTGCAGCAAACGGCATCAGATGTTTCCAGCCTCTTCCACCCACTTGTCAATGTGACTAACGATTTAATTATCACACTACTTAACACAGCGCGTGAGCATTCCTAAGTAAGGTATATCTTCGCATTCCCCCTCCTCCTATACCAACGTAGGCTGCACCCTCTACAAAGCGCCTGCTGCAGCTGCTGTGTGCGTGCATGCGTGAGGGGATGAGCATTTTACACACTGCTCATTTCTTACAAGCTGCTCAGGTATGTGAGAAATAACCCAAGTGTGTAACACCTGCGTTGTCTCCTAACTGGCAGACCAGGGACTTTCGACTCAAACTAGTTTGGCAACTGGTTGGTGAGATCGTTGGGGATTCCTGCCTGTGTATTTCACGGGGTCCTGCCGCAGAGGTTTGGGAAAGTAGCGTGGCCTCTCTTCACCCCTGCCAGTTCATGTGATGTATTTCTGTCTCTCTCATATCTTTAGTTGTGTCCCTCTCCTGTACTTGTCTTTCAGATGCCTGAGATGGCCTTGCCCTTAGTGAACAAAGTCTCTGGGAAATGAACTTCCCATATGTTGAAGGTGGCTTGTTGGGAAGGAGAGAGCACAAACCTGAAATGGATACATCTTTCACAGGAGAAAAAAAGTTGGGTCTGGTGAAGACTGCAGGAGTTCAGCGTTGGTAGTTTTGTCCGCTGCCCCTTCTCCACCTGAAAAATTTGTTAGGCTTGTGCTTGTTCTGTTCTTCCTCCCCCAAACCACCGCTGGTGGTGGTGTGGTGGCTCTGGCAGGCCTGCCTTTCTCTGAGGAAGGGGGAAGGAGCAGAGGGTTTAGAAAAACTGCCTGTTGGCATTTCTTGGACCTTTTTGTAAACCTGAAACAGGTGAGCCCAAGCTCTTGCTGCAGCACTAAAATACTTGGATTTGCTCTGCAGTGTTTGTAGGAAGCCTGTTTTGCTTAGCACTGGAAGTCTGTTGCACTGGCAGGAGCTAGGAGTTGCTGTTTCAGTTGCAGCTGAAGTGACTTAAACTTTCTGCAAAATGGCAGTAATTGATGCCTGATTTTACTCCTTCTGTTGCCAGAAGTCCATGTGGTTTATCACCTTAAACGAAATGCATTAGCTTCTGCACTTCCAGATTGCTGACACAGCCTGCCAGAAGACCTGTGATCTCTAGGTGTCTGTCCCAGTGATCTTTGCTATGAGGATCATTTGTTTAGCTCATGTTTGGAGAAAGCTGCTGTGTCCTGAAGGACCCATCTGACTTGTATTTCAGTTTTTGCAATAAAATGTACATGTTGAATAACTTCCTTTGGGGGCATGTTACTCAAAAAAGGCAATGACAGAACCATGCTCACATTGCTCAGTCTCATTTCTGCGGTTTCCTGTCACTTAATTTCCTTTCATAGCTGATATTCCTGAGGTACCGTTTCCCTGAGCTTTTAAATCGGTTGCATTATGTGATGTTTGCATAAGCTGCACCAGGAGGTTCTGCTGGAACTGTAATGAGATGAACTTGGTTTTTCTTGGTTATATGGGGGATGCTGTTCCTACAGCTGCCACACAGATGAGGCAGGCAGAGGGGAGGGCGTGCCTGTGTTTGCAGAGCTTTACCCTCTAGGGTTTTCTCACCCATACCAGCCGCTCTGTCTTTTATTTCCCTCGAATATACTTTGTTTGGATAATCTTCCCCCAGGTGTAAGATATTTGCTATACATATGTAACTGGAATCTCACGGTGGTGTCGTCCTAATTATAATTAACAAGATGCCTTGTCATTTCTTCCTTCTCAGTATGGGCTGCTCTTTCCTTGTGTTAGTAACATAATCAATGTACTGTCTTGACTCTGAGAACCATGAATGAGATCTTTGAACTGAGGCTGATACTTGCTATGATTTGGTTTAAATTACAGTGTTCCTACCCTTATCCAATTTCATCCTTCAGTAATGGTTTTGCAAGAGGCAGAATGGCACATTGCCTCTAGGTGGTGTGATTTCTTTAAATGCTTGAGTGAAAAATTCAGTGTAAAGTCGGGTGTATATTCTTCAGTCGTATTCCAGTAAACCTGAGTGGGCAGTGGCTGCTACTTCCCTTAGGAGCATCTTGCTGTGAGAATTACTGCCCTGCTTTTTAAAGCGTAGTAAAGGCAACGCTGTGGGGTGGCTAAACCTGATTGTAGCTACTACTGTGATCATTTTATGGAAGAATTTGTATGATACTGTAGATAATAATGGGCAAGATAACTTTACTTTTCAAATCGGAAAAATGAAGATTTACTTTTTCAATTAGTCTTCTGGTTTTCTACAACTGTTTGAGATTCCTTAATCCCATTTCAGTGAGATTTTGCCATCTAGATTTCTTTTTAAATTATTATTATTTGCCAGATGACGTTTTGCCAGGTATTCCTGTTGCAGTGGAGGGAGTGAATGATCCTTAACAGAACATGTCTGAGCTTTTTTATGCGTTCCTGCAAGCTCCTTTATTCTAAAACTGACATGCTGTCTTTGCTGCTTGGAAAGACAACATCTTTGTATGGAATTAGTTACGATGCACAGCAAATAAACTGGTGGATAAGTTACTCACTTTTAAAATAGGTGTGTATAATGTTGAACAGCTCTTTAACCCTCACCACATTGCAAGGAACCCCGCTCATTGTTTCATGCTCTGAGCAATAAAGCATCTTCCCAAGGTAGTGGGATGAGAGCTAACCAGGCTCTGTTGTACCTGGTTTTAGGGATTTGTGCTTCAGTTCCTGACGTCTTCTGTAAGTGTAGGATCACCTGTCCTGAAGTGAATGTTTCCCATCGTTCAACTCCGCTTTCCCATCTGTGGTTGTGACTGCTGAAGTTTGAAAACAAAATATTGAAATGATGATGGCATTATCGATGAAGAAAATAAATCACTTACCTAAGATTAAGGTTGCTAATACTTCCTTATGACAGAGAAATTACTGCAGCTCCAGATCTGAACTGTTATTTATGAAGCTTTCAGTTTATTTCATCTTGGTTAGAGAGAAATGTCATGAATCATGAGTGGCACGGTAAGGGACACTGCTGTGTTTTATTAACGGCGCGAAACGTGTGTCCACCGCAGGTGCCCTCATCTTTCCAGCAGATCTTTGAGCTTGGGATACAGTTGTGGTGTTTATTGGTGTGTTCTCCCTTGTAGCAATTATTTTTCAATAATGTATATTATGTGTAGTATAGTTAAGGGAAAGTTAACATCTGTGCAGTAAGAAACAGTAATGACTTTTTTGATATAAATCAGTTACTTCAGACAGGTTTTTTTATTACCAAAATAGAATTTGAAAGCTTTTTAGGAAAACAACCTCAAACTCCTGACTTCTTGGGAAGTAAAGTAACTTCTCCACCAAGCGTTGCGGCAACCTGTGCGTTACACAGGTTTTATTAGGCAACGGGTTGGAAGAAGAGGCAGAAGATGGCTTCGGCAGTCCGCGCCCAATTCCGAGCGCTACATTGCTCACAGCGCTGGTTTTAATACACTTTGAATCTGGCTTTGGGGAGGCGGCTGGGCCGGGGCC